CTTCACCGAAGGGTTATGGCACCTTAAGTGTCTTGCACAGAAATAGGACATCACTCCAAATTCCCCAGGTAGTGTGAAGCTTTGCAAGTTTCAACCATTTTTCAAAAGGGAGTTTATACATTTGAAGCTTTGTCACATGCTTTTAGTTGCTAACTCCTGCCCAAAATATCTGTTAGATGTATGTGCTTGCATTAAACCAGCATCTTTCTTTAGAAGCACAACCAAGAACGTTGGGCAGTATCTGCATACTTCAAAGACCTGACTCTGAAAGTGGTTGAAAATGAATAGGTCACAGCAGATTCTGAACTTCAGGAAACTTCTGGGTAGGGTTCATGGAAGTGCTCAGCAGAAGTTTTAGATGCTTTAAATATCCTAAAATTTAGTAGTGTCAGATGCACTTGATGACTCACATGCTGAATCCATATGGTTGTGTGGCTACACTGAAGGCAAACAGGGGCAAAACCTACAGCTTGAAGCAAGGACTCTGCTCCAGGTTCTGATACAACACTGGCTTTCCTCTGCTCAAGGGTCCATAAAACAATAATAATAAGTTGTTATTATTACTGTGGCTCAGAGGCTTCCTGATGAGATGCTTGACTGCTGCAGCTCAGCTTAGGGCCCACGATCACTCCTCAACTGATACTAAACTGAGTGGAACAGTGTGATGGGGTCATTTGATGTCTGTGCCATCAGGTGGGGCCTCCTGCAGCACAAGTTTCACCTATTTCTATTACAGCTATATTATGTTACATACAGATATATGCATGTATTTATTACATAACACACAGAAAATCTTGTTTGCCACCCCCCATGCTACATTCTTATTTCATATGGATCTGGTACTTTTGATGGTAATTTTCTGGAACTCCTCAGTACTCTAAGAGATTAAGCCAGTGGTTTCTGCTGATTTGAAGATCGACTCCCGATCATCTGAACCTAGAATTTAGCATTTGCACCAATCTGGAAGTATTTACCCAAGTATCTGCAGGAAGTTAGAAATGTTGCCCCAGAGAATCCTTGCAGAACAGAACTGCTGCAGAAGAAAAGATTAAGAACTCTGGGAGACAAGGATATTCCCTTGCTGCAAGTGACCAGCAGGTCTGGCTCTGCCCCAGCCCACAAGCCTACTGAAGTACCTGTTTTAACAGATCCATGAACTTGATTACAAAGGAGATTAAGTTATCCTTGTAGTGTATTGAATATGACTCAGTCACTCAGCTTTAGGTTTGTTTTTTTAATATTTTTGTAGAGAAAGAACACAAAAGCTCTGCCAATCATACTTCCTTTATCTTTTCCCATAGCCTCCTTCATACATTAAAAGCTGAAAAATACTCTTCTCCTTTTGTTTCTGAAGTTCCATAAACTCTATACCATTTTGAAACCCTAAATTGTATGAGAATGTCTTTAGAAAGCATAATTAAAAAAATCCATATCCATTTTTACAGTGGTCCATAAGCATCTTCATTTAATAAGTAACTTTGGATTAAAAATGTGTTTTAAAAATTTATCTTGAAAGCCTATTCAGGCACCTCACACTGCTGGCAGCCCTGCCTCTGCAAAGTCAAGCAGTATCCAACAAAATGCTTCTAATCTGACCTTGAGAAACATGGCTGTCCATTCTCAGAAAAGGAATGATCCTCCTCTACAGAGATGACTGTAGGTACATTCAGACACCATGCAAACAGAGAACCTGTTCAATCTTTACTTACTTATTAGAGATAGATTTAACTACTATTAAAGCTGTAGACCTTGGGCTAAACTGTGGATATTTCAGAGATACACACTACATGAGCTAAAATAAATTCCAAGCTGCTATGACTGCTGCTAATTAGCTGCTTCTTGACTCCACTTACTGAGAGCAGTCTGTTACTCTGTAAGTGATGTGACCACTGTAGGGTAAGGCATGATCCAATAGGGTTAGGGAAAGGAAAATCAGGATCTGCCACCTATTTTATGCTCTTTGTTAACCTCTCAAAGAGAAACAAAACAAAAAGCAGCTTTAGCAAAATAAAATATTTGAAAGCATGTTTTAATTTTCCCTTAATCTTCAGCTTGATGGGGATCTGCCAGGGCTTTACACAATAGCTGCTAACACATGGCCTCTCTTACAAAGTGCTATTCATTTAAACTTTCTCAGAAATGGTATCACATCTTTTAATTGCTTTGGTGACTCTCTAGCCAATCTGAATGCTACCTGATCTTAATCAACATTCCTCACCCCTTTCCAAACAGTTGATACTGCACCAACCCACAAATCTGAAATGGCTGACTGGAGTGTCACAATGAATTTAAAAAATATATATATTTAACCTGCACATATCTCTAACTTTTGGTCATCATCATATCAGCATAAAAAGTTAGTACAGAGATAAAATTTAAAAAATTATATTTCCTTTATGGCTATTCAACATTCTTCAGTTACTTTCTCAACTTTTAAAGTTTAGGACCAACTTCTCAAATGTCAAAGCAGTTTCTCTGTAACTTTTCTTTCAACAGTGCAGTATTTTCTCTGCTGGTGATTTTCAGGTAGAGCAAAATTTCAAAAATGCAAAAAGGAGAACAGATTGCTTGGACTCTGCTCTCCCTTTTCCTCTTTACAGATAGGAGAAGTTAGCCTTCCAGAAGATTTTCTCTATCCTCATATACCTGGTAAGTATCTTCAAATAAACAGATATTATTGAATCATTGTTGCTGTAATTATCACATATAGAAGCCTGAGAAGACAAAAGACCACTGTAGGGTAATGGAAGAAATAATACAAGATCCTGCTGTGGGCAGACAATAATAGATTTCCCGGTGCAGACAGGTAGCTAAAAATATGATAAATTATTACTGTGTGATATATGTTTCTTAAAATCAGGAGAGAAAAGACCAAAACCAGCAGTAAGAGGGCTGTTGTGATGCATGAGTTGGAAGGAGAAATAACTACATTAGAAGTGTTCCAGATTCCTTTCAACAGTAGGAATTAATGGAAGATTGTCAATTAGCCTGAAACACTTAGCATAATGTGTTTGGAATTTGCATGATGGATGTTTTATGTAACTCCATAACAGAGATCTGCAAAAGAAAATCTGTTTCTTCAACTTCTAAAATGATGTTCTCACAAAGGTAAACAAAGAAAAAATTAAATCCATATTACAATATTTCACAGGGATAAAGTTGGGCATTTCCTGCTGTATTTAGGCTTTCTAATAATGTACAGATGTAAAGCCCTTGCTGAAGGCCAAAAGGAACAACCTGGGCCCATGTGCAGCAATCACACCTAGCAGTTTCACAAGCCTAACTTAAACCTGGGTGGAAAAGCTGAGAAATGGCATCTGGCTTTTGGTTCTCTGGAAGCGTGTGCCCTTCTATCACATCTGTGCTGATTGAGCCGGCTCTGCCATGCTTTGAGCACCAAGGCTCCCCAAATGCCCAGTTTATTTCAATAATGCATTTCACACACAAGATGGACACACACTAGAACAACTGGCTAAACTGGAGCCAGGCAGCAGAAGCCTTTCTTGGTCATTTCCATATTGTTCTCTCCAGCTAATGCCATCAGATTTTAACTACTTCGTATCCATTTTACTTTTGTTGAAAGGTTGTAGATATCAAGAAACTGTGAATAAGGCTTCTGCTGAGAAACACAGTGGTGTGGCAATGCAGCAGGTTGTACTGAGATCACAGGCACTCAGCAAAGTGGCAGTAACCACCTCAAAAGCCAGTTCTTGGTAGATAAGGAAAGGAGAAAAATTCCCTTGCTAAAAGCCACTTTTTTTCCCCACAAAACTGCAATAAGAGCATGCATGGTAATGCTTCTCCAGGACTAAAGATTAGTTTGTGCAATGAGAAAAATTACTTGCAAGACTGTGAATAACATCTTGTGACCCAGATACAACCATCTCATGTAGCAGAGGATTTGTGTTTTGTTTTTTTAATTTGAGATAGAAGGAACGTTAAAGAAATCCCAAGTCATCGTACCATCTTTAGACTAATATATTATCAGTGTATTCCCCTGATGCAAATTCAGCCATCTGTTCAAACTCCTTATGGAGCAAGAAGTCAAATACATAATACATTTTAAAAGTATAAAATATTCAGCAACAGGCAAGACCTCCCTCTGGTTGCTCATTAATAAGCCACATACTGGTACTGTTATATAGTTGTAACTGCATGTCTTGCCTTCACTTTTTCATGATTTAAGTTAGAAAAAGATGGAATTAAAATTACATTCTTCCACTCACACCTCTTTCAATTAAAATAAAATCCCTGTTATTCTCTGACCTGAACTTTATGAAAGCGACTGAAAGTCTTTGTCAGATAAAATTTCCCATTGCACATGAATTCCTTGGTATCTGCCGCCAGCATATCTGCCATTTCTTTATGAAATTGGCATTACTAAGAGTAATATGAATGCTGTGCAGTTTCTTCAGTATAGACCTTCCCCACCCAAACAGGTCCATGGCCCTGAAAATACTAGGAAATCTAGAGGGAGCCACAGCAGATACTCCTGTGGCAGTCCAAGATGTTAAAGATCACCCTCCTCCCACTGCAAAAGCCAAACAAAAAATGTAAAGCATCAGATGCCATTGCACATATCTGAACTGCATGCTCAATTTGTCACTTGTAGTCGTACAATTTAACCATAATCAGAGTACATGAAGCAAGAAACCCCATCCTCTAGGGAGGGTTCCAATCATTCCCTCAGAAAGGAGGTTGCATCTACAATTTATCCAATCACTCTGGAGTTTATAAGAGACTTGTTGGCGGCTCCTTCTCCCTGCTTTCCTTGCAGCAAGGATATTCTTGCATTGGTTGCAAAACCTTCCCAAAAACTTCTCTCATGCCTGCCCAGTGCTGAAGCACAGACCACTGCATAGAGAGGCAAGAAGGAGGAGCTGGAAACAGCCCAACTTAACGTGAAAAGGGAAAGTACAAGACCAATCTGAGATTGAGAGCCTGTGAGATAAATTGCCAAGGGAAGTTAGAAGACTGGCTGAGTTTCAGGTGGAGACAAGATGGGGGTCCAAGGAGAAAGCAGGTCATCTGGGGTAACACAGGTGCACTTTGACAAGGACTCTGTGGAAGGAGGAACTAGTGGAAAGATGGTAAACACTGAGATTGGATTTGAAGGTAATAGATTTGAAATAGACAAAATAAAAAATGGAAGTTAATAATCTCCATTCCAAGAAATCATCTCCATTCCAAGCAGGGAACTTCAGAGTTACAAATTACTCTGGATAGGAGGCCTGCTAAGATATTTAGATCTACTTAAATTCAGCACCAAGATGATGGTTGCTGAAAAATGTATTTTTGAAAAATTTTACTCTATAGCAGACATTCATAAAGTACTCACTTCAAATGGGCCTGAAGATGACAAAATTAGTTTTATATTCACTATGGTTTTGAATTTCATATTTAATAGTGGCATTTATTAAATATTAATTTGAAAATGCATAATTTATACCCACAGTTAGCATAGGTAAATATTTCTGTCACTCATGACCTCCAGCTTGAGCACTTATCGCCATTCATATTAACTTAGTTAACTAAAGGTTTCATTTTATAACTCTTTGTTGCACACAAGTCTGTCAACCGATCTGGCATCCAGCCACAAGTAATCCAAAGGGTGCCCCTCTGACCATGCCTGGAAGGCACCAAGAAATTCCAGAAAGAAATTACCAATATGTGAATACATAAGAATTGACTGGCCTAAAGCCACTTACTGAGCTGCAGATGTGCATCAGTGAATCTCGAGTATTAACATGAACAAAGCAAGAAGGAAGTATCTGTAGGCTCCCTGATCTGTTTTCCCTGGCTCAAGCCAAGGCCAACATGATCTGCACAATGCAGGAAATTCCCTGCCCTGCACAGATGTCTAAGAAGCTTTGAGGGTTTGTGCTGTAGGTCTTTATGCACTTCAATACACTTTTTTGCAACAGGAAGAATAATATTATTTCCTTACATTAGAAGGTGATGCAGGGCACTCAGATTAAACACTGAAGGTCACTTAATTATGAATTTCCACTGCACATTCTATAGGGTCAGATACCCTGAACTAATTAAATAGGTATTAAAATCTGATCTTTAGTCTTGGATACATAAACACATATCACTAAAAAAACATTCCCAGTAATTTGGTTTTAATTCTCTACTGCTTACATAGCTCAAATATCAGAGGACAGCTATTAAATAAACAGATTCCCTTTTTTCAAAGTTTTAAAAACGTTCTGAGACAAGTGGCAAAAACTCAACTATAAATGCCTCATCCCCAAAAGCTGAACAGTTGAATTCCATAGTCTGTTCACTTCAAATTAACAATCAAAGAAAATTAATCATTTTTTCTTAGCTTAAACCTTCATAGAAGCCATCTTGTGACTTCCACATCAGATCAATTGCCTAGGGTTGGCAAGGTTTTCTGGTGATTTAAGAGCCACTTTCTCCATGATGAAACCAGACAGCTACGAACCTCCTCCTCTAGCACCAACTTTTATAGGCAGAAATAAAAGAAGAAAATACTTACATCAATACTGGATTGAAACAATTTTTAAAGTATATCCATAATTAACTGTAAGCTACCTGAGAAATGCAAATGAAAATATACAAGATGACAAAAATATTTTCTTTGAAAATGTGTATTTTAAATTTTTTTTTTCATTGAGCAAATTTTGGAAGTATCTGAATGTATTCCCCTTAATCCCTATTCAGCCCTCTCTTGCAAACATCACAAATCTGACCTTCTGGCCCACAGCCTTTGACCTGAATGTTATACATCTTTTTCAGGACAACCTCACACCCTGTCCATCTTCCAGGGAGACAACATCCAATAGAAAAATACCTTCTATTTCTTAAACTACAGTCCAGGTTAAATCAGTCCCAGTCACAAGACAACTGGCCATACACTTCTTTTGGATCTCTGCCCTGAGAAGTTTCACTACCCAAGACCAGGAAATACTCTCTCCAACCCCTTGTGCTGTTCATCTCTTCCTTCTTATAAAAGATCCCTGCCAGCCCACTGGTGAAAGCCTCTTCTGCCACCCAGGCACAATATCTGGTGTTATCTTATGCCTGTGTTATTATCATGAAGCTGAAGTCTCCTCACTCCAAGGATAGTGATCACAGCATCTCTCACACTGATAAGCAAAAGTCAAATTAGAACAGCCCAAGTGACAGGACCATGAAAAGAGGTAAGAAATCACCTGGTCAACTTATAACTGAGAGCAGAAGGTGAGATTAATATTGTCTTCACTGCTATGCTGTACATTTCTGAGATACAAATAGGAAAATTAAGTATTTTGCTGCACAGTATGTAACAAGCAGAAAAGGGTCCACACTCTGACATGCTCTGGCCCCTGACTTCTACAAATATTGTAATGTAAAAAACAAGCTATGTAACAAGCAATTTTAATGAGCGACAGAGAGTAAAGAAACAGGTATTTTAGTTTAGATTTTAGTTTAGATGATTTGTATGCAAAATTTCCTAAGCAGAATAATCCTAGGGTTGAGTAGCACAACATTTATATGGAAATAAATGCAGTAATATTTTAATCAGGAATAAAAAAAGCTTACTCAGTTTCTTTAACTTCTACTACAGCAGCCTAAGATGACTAACATGTAGGTAAATTCTAGGAAACAGCAATCAGGTAGTTGATATGCAATCTGTCCTAAAAAGAGTGAAGCATGTGATTTTTTTCAGTCTAATAGGCAAAATAATGTGAAATATTGCAGGAAAAGGAGACTAAAGTTTTATACCAGACTTTTCCTCTAGTTTATCAATGAACTAGATTAATGTTGCTTTTCCTGGCTCCTCTAAGCCATATACAGCACTGCCATACCCTGATTTGCAGCACTGCTGATGGCAGGAGAGACCCCAGCTCTTTCATGAGTGGCCAGGTGAGCTGTGACCCAGCCCCCCAGTCAGTGACCTCCCTGTTCCCACTGGTACTGAACAGGGACTGTACCTGTGAAAGGCAAATGCTGTGCCTTTCCT